CTGCTGAAGCTGTTTGGGGTCTATGCTGTCTATGCTGGTACAATTCAAAGCCAGATTGCTGGTTGCTCGTTTTTGTTTTTGGAAGCCTTTTCAACGAAGAGGCTTTAGTTTCTTCCAGGCTCCCAGCCTACCAAGCGCACCTAACCCCAACGGCCATAGCAAACACCAAGTGTCGGATGTTTCGGATGTCCGCTGGACACCCATGGACGCCCCATGCGAAGGATAGGATCCTCTTCATTTGCAGTGATGGTGTTTGGGCTTCTCGGAAGAAGAAAAGACCAACGGGATCACTGGGAGTGGCCGCAGCTGCTCTGAGCGCTGCTCTGAGCGACAGAACCATGTTGCAGCTGGCAGAACCCGTTCAGGCCCTTCAGAACCATGTTGCCCTGTAGACTGTAGATTCTATTTTCAATTTCGGAGATTCCAAGAGATCTATGGCACTGGAGCCACGAGCCGCGCATTGCTCGGATCCTACGAAAGGTCACTGGGGGCGACGTTTCGTCCATCGGGCGTTTTCCACCGGGCGTTTCGGACAAGCAAACACCATTGCGGTGGTTGCGCACCGAGGAATTCATCACTCCACAGGAGGCGCAGCTGGAGCTGGGCGTTTTCACTGTGCAGTGTGTTTTCACTCCGCTTTTGGAACAGGAACAGAGTCTCTCTTTGCAAGAAGGCATCAAATTTGCAATTGACATTTCAAGTTAGCGACTATAGCGAATGGGTTTGTCACTAGCCGCTCACTAGCCCGGATGAAAGAAAAACGTCTTGACCCACAATTGCAGCCTGACGGTCCAGAAGATGTCCACCGGGCACCCTTGTAGGTTTGTTTGTGCTCCAACAAGACAGCCGCAATCTCAACCTGATCAGCGAATCCACCCACCACCATCCGCCCGGTCCGCGGATTCTGCGTTTCTTCTGCGGATGTCGTTCGGATTTGTGAAGGCGGTGACCTTGATCCACCACTATGGCTCCTCTGACGCTCAGAAGGCGGCAGACTTCTTGGCCAAGGAAGCCTGGGATCGTTGGATCCGAGAGGAAGGCGGGTGGAACGGGTCTTCCGACCTTCGCGTGGAGGATGACGGAACGGGTGTTGCAGGCTGAGTGGTAAATGAAAGTGACTGGTGGGATCGTGTATGTAGAACACGGGAGCTTTGGTGGTTCTTGGGAGTTTGGAGACGGGTGAGGATGGTGTGAGGAGGTGCTTCTCTTCTTTCTGGGAGAAACGTTCACCATCACGGTAAGGACACGGTTGATTGCTCAGGCTTGGGGTGGGGTTTCATGGGCAGGAGGCCTTGGATGTTCTTTTGGATCCTCCTGTTATCTCCAAAACTGGGCAAACTGATGTCATATCCATGTTGGAGTGTGGAAGTGAGGATTGTCGATCTGTGGGTTTCGGAGGATTCTGTCCAGTCTTTCTTCCTTCGAATCGGGAAGATCCGGCGCCACATTGGCGCTTGCCCAAAGACCCATGAAGCGTGGAACTGGAATCCGAATACATCAGAGGCACTTTTCGGAGACTGGACACGTTGTTTTCGATGGAAGCCATTTGTCCCTGCCATGCGGTCAGTGATCTTGGTCGTGGGGCTCCATCCTCAAAAGCCACGTCAAGCGCAGCATTGGGACACCACCGCGGAGTGCAGGTGGTGCTGTGGTGGATGACATCACGGTGATCTTGGTCTACTTGAAGCCGGTGGGGAATTGATTGCCTTGAAGGCCCCGTGCCCGGTGTTGGCATCGCGCAGCCAGTCCGGCGCTGGTGTCATGTTCCATGTGCGGGATGTGACGGAGATGAATAGTCAAGTTCCCTCTAAACCTCTTCTTGACGCAGAGAACCATATATATATATATATATACTTGGTCATTGCAGTTGTTGAATTCATCCACACCCAAACACTTTCCTCACAGATGGCCTGGGTACCCGCAGATTTACAGCAAGATTTAGTGGTGAGTCCAACTCAAAACCAGGCGCTGGGGCAGGACGCACCGCGAGCTGCAGGACGCACCGGCTGCGCCACTCCGCTTTCGGTGGCGCGCCCCTTCCGGTGATTTGGTTTGACCTACAGGATCCCAGAGAGACCTTGTTGCGGTCAAAGAATCACCGAGCAGCCAATGTCTAGAAGTTGCAAAACCAGAGAAGCTGCCCTTGGGATCCTACAAGAAATGTTACGTCTCACCTAGAGATCCAAAGCGATACTCGTCAGTGGTTCGAGCTGCGCGGAAGTACGTGCCCAGAGGAGTTTTTCTGTTTATCGTCACGGAGGGCGGTTTTCGGTGTTGTTGGTGTCATTTTTCTCTAACTGAATCTTCAGGTCTTGTTTGCTAAGCTAGTCAACCACGACCACCGCTTTTTGGTGGGCTCCGCTCCCTTGGGCTCCGCCCGGCGCGGGCGGAAGAGCAATGAACGCTCGCGACCGCCGTGAGTTCGGAAATTTTGCAATTCGCTCGAAGGAGCCATTCGAAAAGTAGTAGCTCCGCGGCGGTAGGGCGTGGACTGGAGCCAACGGGTGATTCTAGTGAGCAGTAGACCGTTGTTTCGCAAGACACATCGTTCGGACACCACGTGAAACCACACTGCCAGCGCTCGGAACCCCAGCACCACTGGAGTCCCCGAAAAGACGTCCACCATTGAGCGATTCGATTCGGGGATGTCCTTGAATGAGCGCTAAGCGCACACAGCGCTTCATTCATGCCTTCCACACCGCGGAGAATAACGGTGTCACCCCTTCGTAGAAAGGAACGGAGAGTTCTCAAGGCGTCGGACGAAAAGCGGAGGCGGGAGACGAGTTGTGCAACACGGTTCATCTTGCAACAGTGGGTGCCTGATTTGAAGCCATGCTTGTTGATGAACCAACTTCTGTATGAACTCGAAATATGGAAATAGGTTCTCGAATGCTTTGTGCTTCAATCAGAGTTAGTTAGGTCACTGAAGGATGTACAGTAGATGCAGACAAGACGCCTCGCCATGCCCGACCCTGCCCCAAATTCATGCAGATCTTCAAGACTCTTACGACACAACACCATAGGAGCAGTTACCTTTGCTCCCCAGGCTTCCTGAGGACCCTAAGACCTCAAAAAGACAACCTCTCCTGTTCTCTCCTGTTCACACTCTTTCCATGCCCCAACCCCCTCATTTCTTTGCACATCCCAAAAAGCCCTCCCTACACAATCCCGTACACCGCTGCGACGCCATGGCCGTGCTGTTGCCACTCTTCCTGGCTGCGGGTGGTGGCTTTCTCTGGGCCTTTGGCGTGCTGGGGAAACGCATTGGCGTGGAGGGCGCCACTGTGGAAACGCAGACCGTTCGCGCCTGGGACGGAGAACGTGAGTGGAGCCCCCCCGGAGAAGACCGGGAGAGGGAGATTGATTTGGGTAGACGCATGGCAGGAGTTTTCGCTAGTGACTAGTGAGCGATGTCTGGTTTTTGGAATTTCCGAACATCGGGAAGTTGAGTAGCAAAACATTCTAGATGCAGACTTTCAGGGCTTCTGACATGCAAACCCCCACCCTAACCCCCCCACCCCCCCACCCACCTACCCACCCACCCACACACACATCCACAGAAGACCTGACGCCACTCTGAATTCATCAAGTGTATGCCATATGCACCCGACAATAGCAAGTTATCAGCATCCCTACAGCTTATCTACAGCATTTTCATTAGTTTGCTAATCCAACCGATTGTCCGGTCTCAGGTGCTGCGATCACCATTTTCGTCTACACCTTGACCACCGCCTGCACTCCCTTGTTGGACTTATGGCACTTAGGCCGGCGACGCCCTCGACTTTGAAAGAACTGACCACGCATGAAACAAACATGCCAACCTTTTTTGGCTTTGCAAAGGGGATGAAGCGAGAGGGAGTTGCTTTTTGGCCCAAGGAGTTTGTACGCAGTTGGTGCCTCGTGCGCGCGAGCAGGATTCGGGTCGTGGCTCCGAATGGTAAATGAAAGTGGGGCGCCAAGATGTGCCATGCAAGAGGAAGTGGCTTGCGAACAAGCAAATCCCCTTGTCTATTTGTAACATCATAGTTCATTTTTGTTCATCGTATTTCTTCTTTTTGTCATCGCAATACCCAGATTGTTTTTGTTGTTCTGAAAGAGCTTGTCATCACGCAGAAACAAACACTACACCGCCCTTTTGCCGGTGTTGACCGCACGCAATGCTCCGAAATCTGGCAGCACCACACCTGTGGTGCCTGCCGCACAAGACGGCAGTTTGACTGCTACCCAGCTTTCACACAGATATGTGTATGTCTCTCTATATATATATATAGATATAGATAGACATAAGTGATGTGAACAAGACACGTAGTCTTCCAATCTGGCCAAAATGATTCCTGTAGAGTTGTGCAAGGAGTCCCAGTCGTCTGAATGCCCCAAGAAATTCCATAAACATTAATAGATGAGTTTGATGTCTCTTACTCAGCTGGAATCTGGCCAGGTGCAAAAGGGTGGTTCGAGACTTGGAATGACCCTGTCTGGAGCAGCCGAGTTCCCTTGGTGATCGTCTGTGGCGTTATCAGCGGGCTGGGCGGCTTGTCACTGGGCTGGATCGATTTGGCATAGTTGGCATGAACGGTGTGGTCATGGTGTCTGGGATTGTCCGGTTGATGGATGAAGGTGACACTGAAGAAGGCGAAGAAGGCAGATATGGATCACCTGCGACCTTCAAGGCGATGAAGGGAGATTGGAGAACTCACTTGAGAAGTCTCATGTGCTGACATGGCGGGTATGTCGTTCAAACTGTTTGTTTTGCGTGCATGTGTGTGTGTGAGAGAGTGTCACACCTTGGAATGGCCCGGACGAACCAGGTACGAACCAGGCAACCCATGATCATCCATCATCCATGATCCCCCCCCTTTGCTCAAGCACTTGGTGCACCTCTCCGCTCACCACCGTCTGCCAGAGTACCACAGTCTGCCACAGTCGCCTCCCTTTCCCTCCCTAGGTTGGGCACCATTGCTTTCGCGTGGTCTGCTGGCTCCGATAGTGCTCTGGTCTCGATGATTGAGAACGGCATGTACACCATGATGAGCGCCACTGGGCAAAGAGTCAAAGAGTTGAGGACATGGAAAAAGACGACAGGGTGTTGGAGAGTGGTGGGTGGAAATTTGCCCGAATCTACTAACTTGAGGCGGACCTGCAGGGTAGAGAACAGATTGTCCAAGGACTAGTGCATGTTGAGCCACTTCTTTCATGATTTTGGACCCTTACTGTAGTCGTTGGGTTTCAGACCACCGTGTCAGATACCCGAACCCTTCGGATCATCAGATGTGCTTCTGGGTTCTGAAAGAATCCTTCGATCTTCCAGAGAGACTTCAGCAAATGGATGGATCTTGGGTCAATCCCACCCAGTCCCCAAAATCATACGATTGGATTTTACTAGTAGCTTCCTTGTTACCAGTTACCAGTAGTAAGGTGCCTTGTTAGTAGTAGTCCCCCAAAGTCATAGGATTTGGGACACACTGTCCTCTCGCCATCGATCGACTGGCTGAGCTTTTTTGAGGGACTGTCCACCGATCGCCTGGGGTGTTCACCCTTTGGGTGTGTAGGCTTTCCTTGGAGAAGGACTCATCAAGTGACGACTCATCAGAACGACACTGCCCAAATCCATCATCACCGCACAGTTTGGCCACTCAAGTGGCAATTAGTTCTTACGTTCGCCACCGGAGCCACCAGCGAAGTAAACTCCAGAATTCGAAGGACCAAAGTAGCTATGCTCCCTGAACACGGAAGGGGTTTCACTGGTGTTGTATCGTCATGCATTAAGAGGTGCCACGGCCGCTGAGGCGATCATCATTGCGATCTACTTCCAAGAACACCCGTGCCTCGCTGGCGGGCTGCGAAACGCCGGAAAAGCCTGGGTTGCTAGAGGAAGACATGGCAAAATAGGCAAGAGTCCACTCGCGCCCATTTCCTGGTCGTAGAGGAAACCTCGACAAGTGAATGGTCTCCTTGACGCCATTCCTTTTGACCTCTTACCGCAGAGGCGCTGTTGCTTAGGCTTACAGACATTCATCGTGTCTATGTCTCTCTAGTTCCCAGGTGAATATAATTTGCCAAAGGTTAGTCATTATCTACTTTTGCCAAAGGATGAGTCAAGAAGATACACTCAACAAAAGGTTCTTGCCCGGATGGAGCCCCAAGCACTTGGGAGAGAGTCTCTGTCAGACGAAGGTGCTGTAGCGATGTTCATAGTACAAAGACCTCCTTTAAGCTGGTACTGTGTGCACCGTACTCGTTCACTTCAGGATCGAGAAGGAGTGACTATTGGACCTCATGGCTGTTCTGTTCTTGTGGTAATATCTGTTTGAAGTGCCAAGCATTGTTTTTGTTTGTTTCTTTTTGTCCGTCCAACCATTAAGTTCACACACCCAAATCAGATCGCTGAGGAAGATACAAGCCTATTTCGGCTTTGTCCTGATCTTGTTGGGTGTGCTTTTGGCGCAGAAGTCTTCCAGTTCCAAAGGGAAAGGAGAGTGACTTCGACTGAGCAGGAGGGATGGGTGGGACTTGTTGGCATTTCGACTGGAGTTGGACCTGCAAGGACGCCAGTAATGCCCTTGTGGCGTCCCGAAAAGAGTTTTGTGGAGGCAAATGTCTCAAGACATGAACCCAGGACCAACACAGACCTTGAAGAGGGTGAAAGAAACTCTGCAATGGCTGAAGCCAGGGCCTATTGGCAGGACTCGATGAGCCATGTGCACCACAATGTGCCATGCGTTTCGTGGATGAGCTTCAAACATTTGCTGAACACGTTCCGGACCTAAGAACTTTGGAGCTCCGGACTCTCATATTCTGCATCCGTGACTCTCATATTCATCCGGGGTCACCACGTCCGATCCTCCGGTGTGGGTCCGATCCTCGCATCTGAGGAACGAGTCAGATTCAGAGGAGCATCCTCCTCAATTTGAGCTAGAGCTTTGGGAACCCAAGAAACTGGGGAAGACGGAGGAAGAGGCGGAGGATTTGGAGCCTTGCTGGATTTAGGGAATTGAGATTGGTCTGTGCGGCGGGAAGGTTTTGAACGGGTTTAGACATTGATGATGCTGATACATTGACACTGTTTAATGACCGGATCCTTCTTGGTACTTAGTTTAGCTGTTAGTTGCGAAAGCGGGTGAACGTCAAAGTATGTCGCACTTTTCTGGGGCGCATCGGAGACTGCAGCTGCCCTTTCCCTGACATTAGGAACCACCTGACGGCCAAAGAACACCTGGCGTTGGGTCGGTGTGTGGGGTCGCAGCCCATCGTTGCCGGTCGCCGCAGTTCTCGCGGCGGTCGCCGCTCCTCAGGAGTCCTCCGAAGCGTCCAGCTCCACCGACGCCCGACACGAGCGCTGCGGCGCGTCCCGCTTCTCCGCCCCGTCGTGCTTCGGGCGCTGCGGCGCGGTGGCGCTGGCGATGTGCGCGGGCAGTTGTTGGGGCTTTGGGCCCTTGGGCGCCTCAGCGGTTGAAGGATGTGGGGAGGGCAGCTTTTTTATTGGTTGAGCCTTCCTTGGACTGGAGAGCTCAAGGTTGAGACGAGTTTGCGTGGGTCTGTGGGGATAGTGGCGGGTTCTGATTCGCGGCTACAGGAAGGCTGGTGGGGCGGCTGCGGTTTGTGCGTGTTACTCACCTTCAAGCCTTGGGGGTTCACGATTTTGTGAGGCAAGAAGATTGGTGTGCATGGAAGCGAGGATCACCAGAGGCAAGCCTGGGCTGCTTGTGCCTGGGCTGGCGAGTGGGGGATGGAGTGTCCGCTTGAACAAAGAATGAGAGTGTGTTCTATAGAGTAGAGCATTCTTTTTGACAGCTCCAAGAGAAGATTGAGGATGATTCGGGACATCATATCAGGTGCGTTGCTTGACCAGGAGAGAGTACTAGCGTGTGATCAGTACTTGCTCATTGACTCATGAATGGGATGAATCGCTCGTCCTTTACCCGCGGACATCTAACAAGTTCCAAAATCGGGCAATGCTTTAAGAAAGACATATAAGAAAGACATGTATATATATATATATAATCATATAGTATATGCGTATATGCTTGGATGAGGTGGCTGGTGACTGAATCAGGCCCTGGCCCCATTGAGATGGGTTGGATCTGGGGGGGACAGCATGCAGCTAGGTGTTTCAGGAGTCTTTATTGTTAATTGCAGGTTTGCTATGGATTCAGACTCTACTACTGTTGAATGAAGACATTCTGCACCCCCGATAATGAACTCCAAAGCACCATCAAAGACCGTGGTTTTCCGTGCCAGCGCCGTTCTTTCTCCATTACTAGTAGCGATGCCAGGAGCGCCCCCTAGTAGCTTCTTGCTCCGTTCGTAGTGATGCCCGTTACTAGTAGATTCTTGTTGCTAGTAATGTCAAGAGCGTTTTCGCCCCTGAGGTACTTACTTCGTTTACATGCTGTCCACCATCTTCGTTCCTCTCCTCCGTGTGCTCACGGCCCATGGCCGACGGGAGGCTCTCGAAGACTCATCCTTCAGGCAGCGTGGACGTCCTCGACTCGTCCAGGGTCGGTGCCGGGCTTTTTCGGTTTGACCGGGCTGGCGGTTTGTTTGGTTTGTTTGGTCGGCTTGGTCAGACAGTTTGCTGATTTGTTGCCAGCTCCTCATGGTCAGACTGCCTCTGCATGTGTCTTCGGTGGGAATCCTGATCTTGCCCCTGCGAAGACCAAAACAGGCATTGGTGCTTTGTCAAGTGGATCCAGGACTAAGACGGTTTGGAACATTCTCACTATGCGGTCTGATATGGTCACAACGCTACTAGGGGCTCCTGGCCTTACTACTAGGAGCAAGGACGCTACTAGGGGCTCCTGGCATCGCTACTAGGAGCATTCTTATCAATTACAACAACTGCAACTTGTACAAGCTGATCTTCGTTGTTTTTGCCTGAAAGACCTGAGCGTCCTCTACAGGGGATTTGGTCCAGGTGCTAATGCAGGCACGATCGATCTGCAAAGGGATCCGATGGAGATGCCCGAACGATGACAATTACATGCTTCTTCTTGCTATAACTCCAACTTAAGTTTTGCCATTTGTTTGTGGAGATATCGTTTTGGCATTCTTTGGTTTCCTCTAGGCCCTAGGCTTTTGGATCCGAAGGCAGCAGAGCAGCTTGACAACAAGGTGTTGGACTGACATCCTGGCCGAACCTCCCAGATCATCCCAGATCATGTTCTTTGTCGATAAAACAGTGGCAGCTATTGAAAGCTTACCCAAGCAACAGGCACAGCAATAATATCAACTGCTTTCTTTGCCATCTTCAGCAGTGCAAGGCAAACTTAGGGCCAAGAACTCAGACTAGCAAAGCTGGCCTTGATTTGCATGGTGAGGGGCAAACCTATTCCAAAAGGTGACCCGAACCAGCACCAAGACCTGTTGGGTGCTTCCAAGGACACTCTGAATTAGAACCCACAGCTCGTGTTCGTTTCTATGCCCTGCCTATATAGACATAGTGTGCCTCGCGCGAACACAAACTCGAACTGGAACAGTCAGAACTCAACCTTGGAGGCATTCGAAGGCCTCGAACTGGAATTCGATCTCAAACTCGAACCCGAATAAAGTAATTACAAGGCCCCAAAAAACTGGAAACATAATTACAAGGCCCCAAACTCGAACTCGAACTCGAGCTGGAACGTAGAACCCAAGTACTCTGGAAGCATAGAAGGCCTCGAACTCGAACTAGTAGGCAAGTAATGTTCGGGGTGTTCGGGTATCGTTTTTTAAGGGTTTCTCTAGTCTTGGCTCAGGGCTTCACTTCTTTAGGGTTTCTTTGGCCTTGGCCCTTGGCGTAGGGTTTCCCTGGAAGTGAGTCATGTTGGGGGTTCCAACATCTTGAGGAAACCAAAACGATGCCAACGCACCGAATCTCTCCCCCAGGGACCGACGAAATCCCTTGTAAATGGCGCGCAGTTTTCCAGGCAAAAGCAATGGAGATCATTTTGTGCAGGTTGCAACACACACACACACAACGGAAGTCTAAGTGGTCACTTCAACCAACTTTTTTCCCGCATCTTTTGATAGACTGCATCGAATTCCCCGCAGGTGTCGTCTCTTGGGGACAGTGCTTTGCGGCTTGGTCTCTGGCTTTGGGGGGATGCTCAGCACCTTCGCCTTCGCACAGGAGTCGTTGTAGACGTCGTCGCCTGTGAGGTACGTGTCGTGCCGAAAAAATCGTGCGCGTTTGGGCACATATGGTTGATGTGGGCATGTGTCGAAACCCTGGTTGAAGAACCGGGTAAGTGCTAGAATTGCTGCAGCCTGCAGGGGTGACAGATCCATTCAGATCGTAGCATGTGGTGGCATGTGGGCCATGTGGGGTGCAAATTTATCCAATACACTCGGAAATCTCGAGTTGTTCTGGGACCTGTTACACTGATTCTCCTTCGAACCTACAGGAGGGTTACTACAGCGGAGCTTTGATTTCCACCGTGGAGAACGGCATTTACACTGTCTTTGGTGCAGTGCTCATCACCGTGGTCTTCCGGGAGAAGTTGTCGCAGCGGCAGTTGAACCTTGGCGTCGGAGCCGGTGGTTCAGAAGAGTTGAAACCAGAGCAGTTGTGTTTGGGGTCTACATGCATGGTTGAAAAGCCACAAGGCCCGCAGGTTTGCATGTCGGATTCTCGTTTTGATGGTACCCTTGTAATTTCTGTAGCCATATTCAATAACCCCTGGGCCTTGGGCGACGGACAAGGACGGTAAATCATGTCGTCTCCTTAATTCAAGAAACCTTTGAGCAGAGACCCATCAACAAGACTCTGCCACCCTTAAAACCAGTTCAATCCCCCACCCGTTGTTCCCAGTCTCACCTACACCGGACCCCAAGAGCGCTTCGTCGACAGGATCAGTGCGCTGTCTGTTACCTTGGCCATCGCCGCTTGGCCGCGAAACGGTGCCGGCATGAACCGGCGTGGAGCGAACGGCACCTAACAAGAAGCTACTAGGAACAAGTGCATCGCTTCTAGTAACAAGTGCCTTACTAGTAGTAACAAGAAGCTACTAGGAACAAGAAGCTACTAGGAACAAGAAGCTACTAGGAACAGTCGCGTCCGATCACTCCGTTCGTAGCGATGCCCCTGTGTTACTTTCCTGTGCAGGTTGTGAAGATGTGCAGGCTCATGTCCAAGAAAAAGAATGAATGAACCATAGAATCCGAGTGCTCTTGTTCTCAGGTTATATTTGGCCTGGACTTCAAGAAGATCTTCGGAGGATCTTCCGACTGAAGTAAGGACTGTGAATGCGTGGCGCAGGCGCATGGTGCGGACGCAAGACACTGGAGAAAGACCTGGGCAACGAGGAGTCTTTCGAACTTTTGCGTCTCACGTGTAGGTGTCAGGAGGGTGGATGTGTGGCCAGTGGAACCCGGCAGAACCGGTTTAAATTTGGTTGATATTGATGTCCCATTCCAGCCAGTTCTTATGCCCAAAGACTAAAGACATTGAAATCCCATAGGGAGACCCTTGGAACATGGTTCTTTGGGGTTCGAGGCACCGAACCCGGAAAGGTGCGGCCATCTCGCACGACGGGTGCTACCGCCCGGGAGGTCCATCCGTGCCAGTAGTGCACGTCCGTTTGTCACGAGTCCATGATGCCTGAGGTGAACTACAGGGATCATGGAGTGCCAGTGTATCCCCAAGAAGGGACGAATCCGCATGACTTCTTGAAGCACTGTAGTGCATGGACTCTCCAAACTGCAAGTCGCACATGGACTCTCCAAACCGCGGCACCATGGTGCCGCTCTCCCGGCCGTTTCGGCCCTCAGTGCGACCGGCTCCGGACTCTCATCGGAACCGATGAAGTGACCGGACGCTGGGAAGGGGGTCGACCACAGACTTTGGGGTCGGCTACGCCGCTACGCCTGGGAAGTGTCAGTGTTTTCAACATAGATACAGTGAACGACTATAAAGAACGAGGTTTTGACATGTCACACGAGCAATCATTACCGTAAATTTCATCAAGATCTTGTCGTGCATGGCATGTCTCCACTTGCTCCTCCTACCGCCACTGCTACTGTCTTACTGCTACTACTCGTTTCTACTGCTACGGCATCAGGGGTGCTATTTGGGTGTGAGATTGGGGCAAAAGCCGGCATCCCCTCATTGTGCCCGACGGGGGCACCCCCATCAGGAACACCCCCCACAAACACTGAGGGATAGATCGCCAGCAGGACGGCGACGACTGCGACTACTGCTATTCAATGGTTGTCTTCAGTGGCATTATTCATTAGATGTAGCATGATGTAGCCAACGATCAAACGCCGTGCCCAGATCGGCCACGACCCCCCAATTTTTTTAAGCTTAGGCCGATGCGCAGTTCGGCTCGTCCGAGGCGAACGTGAAGGAGACACAACTATTTTTCTGTGGAGAGACCACGAAGCCGGTCGGACAGGGACAGGGACAAGAATGGAAAAGAACCTGGCCTGAAAGATGTTGGTTTTGGGTGGTGAGTTTGGACCCACACCGATCGCGCCAGAAACATGATACCCGCCGGACCCCAGGGAATGCCGCTTAAACTTGAAATCACGCATGTGCCGGATGAACCCCACCAGCACCTGGCCACTTGTGCCCCCGACAGATCCATTGACATTGATGTCTATTTTGGAGCCACGACACTTGCATCGTGGAGAAGGACCAACAGAATGCCTCCACTCGGACCGGTCCGAGCAACGGGTCTCGCGAAGACAGAAGTGAGGGCATCGCGTGAATCAAAGAAAATGGGGCTGCTTGAGCCGAAGAAAAAGGGCTTAGGTGCAAGGGGCTGGAGCCATGCCTTAAAAAAAACGGATTGCCCAAGAAGGAGTCCCGAGTGGAATGCATAGTGACAAAGCCCCAGATAGAATATGCGAAAATAATTAGTATGCAGATAGAATATTTTCAGCCTCTAAAACAGTAATTCCTGGATCACTAAAACCGTGCAGATAGATATAATTGATGTTGTTCATAATGTGTACATATGTTTCGTGCATGAGTTTTGAGTTGTAGATTTCACCACACATAATTCACATAATAACACTTGTGTCATATCATAAATCATATAATATCATATATATCATATTCTATCTGCTACTTCCCTATTCATTTTCTAACCCATATTCTATCTGCTGTAGGAACAGGCAAAGTGGCTGACAGCACATAGAATACGTGACTAATTAGCTTTTGGGAATTAGTTCATATTCTATCTGTGGCTTTGTCACTATACTGAACTTTATCGCAACTTGGGCATCACTATATAATGGTTCTCAAAAGACTCCACGGGCCACCAGTCACAAAATATTGGGTTGGATTGCTGAAAGATTCTGGGGTGAAGGGATTGCATAAGGTGATGTTCAAGAAAAAGCAACTGGGGTGAATGCGCTCAAGCATTCGGCTCCGAGCACAATGTCAGTATCCTCCAAAGGAACCATAAAAAGTACTTCATCCGCACTTTGTTGGCCGTAGCTGCTGAGACAGCACAGCGAAGACTTAAAGATGCTCCACAGCACAGCAATGTCCACGCAAAATGGACTTGTGGAATCACACTCGTGGCAGGTACCCGCAACAAACGTTATATTGAAATCTGAAAAGCGGTCATTCGGAGTGCAACAGGTAAAGAAGCTCACCCTTGACAGGTTGCCAAGAGCCACGACAGCTCAAAGGCTCATTCATAGATGGCCATATTTGGCTTTTGCCTGATGGCTGAATTGGAATGGCTACAAAGTTGAAGGTGGTGAATGGTGTGTTCCTCGTCGACAAGAAGGGGCTCTCCTTCCCGCTGAAAGAGGCTAGTGGGGTCACTTTGGGACGTCCAACAGATTCTTTGGAGTCAAACGTCTAGAGCATCTTCGTTCCGTGCCAGAAGGCTTTCACACTCATTCTCTTTGTGACTCTACCTCAGCACTGCAGCTACCTGTACCATCTCAAAAAGCTCAATACTTTCAGGTGCTGTTGTGAATAAGTGTTTAGTTGCCCTCTCATTCTCCAGGCGCCTTGCTCGCGGGACCATGACGCCTACTACTGGATGCAGCAGATTCATCGGCCTTCCAAAAGCTACCCCTACATGTCAGTCTTTGAGGAGCTCAGTTTTCATCTGTTTTCATCCGTTTTCATACACACCCGGTGCATCTTGTGTGAGTCCAGCAGATAGGGCCATGCCGCTTTCGGATGTTTTGGGTTTCTTTTTTGTTTGGATTGGTGCTCAGTTCTGAGCGGTGAAGAACTGCCAAGACGCTGGTGGTTTGCCTCCGACATGGTCAGATTCTTTTTTTTGGAGGTTTCAATCCCATGGGGAACGCGTTGCCCAAGGGTGTTTTGACATGGTTTGTTTCTTTCCAAGGGTCTGTGAATCTGGAAAGATGGCTGGGAAAGCTGTTGCTGACCGTTCACCGCTCACCGTTGACTGCTGGAACCGAGGGAACAGGCTTCAATTGTAAATGAGCCACTGAAACTTGGTTGTATTGTATTGACTTGTCTTGTAGTGTATGCTATTGTATGGTATTGTACTGTATGGTATGGTATGGTATCGTATCGTATGGTAATGTGATGTGTGTTATGTTATGTTATGTTATGGTATGGTATGGTATGGCAATGGCAATGGCAATGGGTAGGGTAGGGTAGGGTATGTATGTATGTACGTATGTGTGGGTGGGTGTGTCTTCTCCACCACCCGCTCTGACACTGCGGCATTCAGCATCGACTGCAGATGCTGCATGTCTGAGGCCACACATGACGCACATGTGTTTTTTCTCAGCCACGCCAGCCATGCGGGGGGTGGGTAGGAAGCTAAGAAGCTATTAGAAACAAGTGGCCAGGAGGAGCTCTTGCGGTTGCATGATGAGCTGCGGAACCATCCGGGCCGCTATGCAAGGCGGACGGTGAGGGCTAGGAGTCGAGCACGAAATGAGTGCAGCGCCCGTGGTGTAACCAAATATTGTTTCACCATGTTAGACCTAACTGCAGGTGACATCGTGGAATCATGTCAAATTGCTAGTTGGGGTTGCGCGCCCTAGGTGCCAAATTTTTTAATAGTCGACCTTTTTTTTTCCCACATCTTAGTGTGGGGTTCTTCTTTTCTATGTCTCATCCCGCTTCTCCCGCCTCTCCCGCTCCTCCCGCTCCTCCCTTTCCGAGACGACACACACACAGAGACAACACACACCGAGACAACACACACCGAGACCACACACACAGAGATCATACACACCGAGACCACACACACAGAGATCACACACACCGAGACAACACACACCGAGACAACACACACACAGAGATCACACACACCGAGACCACACACACAGAGAGATCACACACACCGAGACCACACACACAGAGTCAACACACACCGAGACAACACACACAGAGACCACACACACAGAGAGCACACACACCGAGACTACAATCGATCTCGCTCCGTTAGAGGGTCTGGTGGTTGCGTTGTCGGCTGTGGTCGGCTGTTGTCGGCTGTGGTCGGCTGCGGCGCTGTCTTATTG